CATTCGTACTCGAAAATTCGTTTAGAGATAATTCGGTATTATACCTTTCAGTCAACATTTTAATGTGAATGTTGTATTTAATAAGCACACCAACTAAATATGTTTTAAATTTGTAGCTTAAAATATGCAAACAAACTCTCACTCGAGCTCGTCTTCTACTGAAACTGAATAGGCTACAAAACTGCGTACTCCAAAATTTTTTGAAAATGCGGATCAAAAAGTTGATACGTTGATGAACATTTCTTAAATTTTTATAAATTTTCTAGAAAGTTTGAGACTTCAACTTACATGGTTTTTATTGTAAAATAAACTATATTTTTATAAAAAATTTAAATTAAGTAAATAAAAAAATTCTAAGCTTAATACATTTTGCTACTATATTTGTAAACACAACTGTACAAAGACGCTTAAAAATGGGCTGATTTGTATGGCTTTTTACTGATTTTTGATCCCAACTGTACTGATTATGTCACTAAAATATCTGGCTACCCTAACGTCAAGAGAACTTTTTTCTTTTATGATTCAAACAAAAAATTCGGAACTTGAGCGTTTCATCATCAATCATTCAGCTCTACGTATTGCGCCACAAAACTACATTGCTTATTAGCTGCATTTTTTTGTAAGCGAGCGACAAAAGAACGCTCAACTCGGGTAAAATTTCCTTTTAGCTACTTAAGCAACCCTGCTGGTAGCTGGCAAGAAACATGTGATTAGTTCTACGGGATTTAGACACAAAAACAATAGAAATTAGTAATTATGCGAGGTATTTGCGTAACATATATACTTATTTAAAATTTAAATCATGTGTATACGGAAACAAAAATTTCCCTCTCCACTTTCCCATTAACAATTCACAATAGAGCAGTTTTTTCACTTAACAACACTACTCTTCAGGTCGCGTATTTTTTAACCGACCTGGCTGAACTCGGATAAATAGCCGAGTTTGTGTTGTTGCTTTGCGTGTATTTCGTCATTTTTCAACATATATCGTGTATATAAATTTAAAAATCACCGCAATTTAAAATTTTTAGGGTTTTGATAGTTTTTAATTTCTTGAAGTTTCCCCTTTTTAATAACTTGAGTGGAATTCCAGAATTTTCTAAACTTTCAAAACTTTGTGAATTTGAGAAATTTTAGTAAATCCCAATAATTCAATTAATTCAATATAATGATGAATACTAAATTTCTAGAAATTTTTTATTTCTCAAAAATTTTGAGAATTGTAGGAATTCTAACAAATTTTTTCAAAGTCAAAGTGTCGAATATAAAAAATTGATCAAACGAAATTAAAAGTTTTCGAATGTTGAAAACATTTTCATATTTCGTCGTTTTTGAAAATTTAAAAAATTTCCGTAATTCTTGAAGATTCAAAAAATTTTTGGACGTTGATGTTCTCAAAATTTTCAAAAAATTTAAAATTCTCAAACTATGTTATATCAATACAAAATTTTGGAAAAGTTCAGAAAAGTGGAACGATTTTGGAATTTTTCAAAAATGTTAATATCTTTTAGAATTCTAAGAATTTTCTATTTTTTACACAAGAGTACATGAACATAAGAATTTTCCGACAATTTGTGATGTTTCACATTTTTACATTTTAGGTTGGATTTTAGGATAAATAAAATTCTCAAAATTTTGGAAAATATAAAAATTTCTAAAATCTCAATAATTTTGTACATTTCTAAATATTCTCATTTTACCAAAATTTCTAGAATCTCCCGGATTTCGATAGTTTTTGAAATTTTGGAAATTATCCTAAAAATAAGAAATCTCAAGAAATTTAATAATATAAAATTCAAAATTTTGGAATTTTCGTTATTTTCTGAACCTGTGAAAATATTCACACTTGCTGTGACTTTCAACTGTGTAAAACAATACAAATTCGAAAATATAACAAAAAAACTAAAAATTGAAAATTAAGTACATAATTTCAAAATTTTGAAAATTCAGTGAATATGAAAAACTGATAGGCCTACTTAAATAACACAATACTTCGAGCTTAGCACACAGCTATAATTTCAAACTCAAGTGAAATTTGACACATTTCCCCAATTTCCCCTACCTGGGTCCGCCACTGGTGTGGTGTTGGCATTCATAACGCTAGCTTAGAGTGAAAAGTTGGTAAGTCCATTTGTAGAAAATTTACAGGGGAGGAAAACAACTTTTCAGAATATTCCTTTCAAGAATTTTCCAGAAGGTTCCGATGCAAATTAAAAGATTTAGAATTTTTTGTGAGCTTATCGCTTTTCTGTGTCTCTTTTGGACTTTAAAATTTGCCTTTAATTTAATATAAATGGGAAGAAATAAAACAAGCACGTTATTTAATCCTTTTGGAGACGTCGTGTTTTTAATTTACCTTGCTTCCTATGTATATCCAAATATGAGTTTTCACAAAAAGTAAAAGCAACCTTTCACTTCAAGCTAGCGATATGTTAATGAGATGATAATACGTATTTCTTTGTAGGAATTTCTTTTCATTGACAACTAAACTGAAAAAATGTTTAGCTATTCACAATAATAATTAGAATAACAGGTCTATTCTGCGCTGGTAATAAAAAGTTTGTAACCGGTAATTAAAGTGTCTTTCAATTTTTAAACCCTTTTCTCATTCTGTGTACTCTTGTAAACATCTCATAAGCTGGTAACAAAGTATTACCCCGTGAAATATGCAATGCCAGAATTTGCACCATTCTTCATAGCTGAATTGCTGAATATTTTAACTGCATTACCAACGTTCCTAGAATCGCGGTGACAAGAACTGGTAAAATTTTTTGGTAATAAAATTTTCCGGTTACAAAATCTTCGGTAACGTGCAGAATAGACCTGTAAACAACAAAAGTTCGGTAATAAAATTTCCACTGAATCGGATTCCGATACAAGTACTTTCTTCCGATACCTACTCAGTACTCGGTTCAAAATCATCGATACCAAAATTACTTGGTATCGGACGGAAAGTATCGAGTATGTACTTGCCATTACTAGTATCGTTTTGTCCCTAATACCTAACACATGGATTTTAACAAGAAAATTACGAAAACAATTCACTTCAAAATAAAATACATATTTATGTATAAAATTGGTTTATAATCAAGCAGACAGTTTCAAACTGGGGTAAATAGAAACATTGCTAGTTTAATAGTGGTTCAGTTGAGAGGCAGCTGCACTCTAAAACATTCTGCAGGAATGGCTTGTCGAGTGTCTTAAGCCTTATTCTTGCGAGGGCTGGACAGTCGCACAGGAAGTGTTCGACTGTCTCTTTTAAGTCGGTCATCGCAACCACGACAGAACCTGTTGAGAAGGCAATCCAACCCTTTCGGCATGTACCCCAACGGGCCAGTATCCTCTGCATAATGTACTAAGTTTGTAGATATCTTCTTTACTCATCCTTAAGAGAGCTTTGGTTTTAAGTGGGTCGTAGGACACCCAAAACTTCCGGGTAATCCCGTACGATCCTGTACGGTTATACCTCTGCTTGGCCTCCAAGTGGTAAATTTCTGAAATTTTTGCCTGGCACACATTCAGTGCGGGGCGCCCCTTGCTAATTCGTCCGCTGCCTCGTTTCCGTAAATGTCCCTATGTCTCGGGACCCATATTAGGGTAATTTCGTATTGATCAGAGATATAGGCAGCTCTGTCCTACAGTCCTCCACTAACTGAGATCTAACAGAGGTAGAAAATAGTGCCTTAATGGCCGCTTGGCTATTCGAGAACATATTCAGATGAATATTTGGGCAAAAATTAAAAGGTAATTTTTATGTCAAGGGATTTCGCATTAAATTTAAATGGTTTTAAAACAAAAAAGAAAATACATATATAAAAAAACCATATGGATTTATTGTGAAATATACTAAGATATGCGCAATAAATTTGCCAAAAACAGGTATTTTTTGCAAAATATGCAAAAATATGCAAAACCATGCATTTACTGTAAAAATATTATGCACTAACGTTTGAATGCCATTTTAAGGGAAATTTCATGATTCGTGAAGATAACTTAACCATCTCCATTTGAAGCTGACCAATAAAAAACATTAATTTGCATGAGATTCCGAGCCCTAGTGATGACTTCATGTCATCAACTTATTGAGCAATCAAACTCTCATAATAAGTCTTCTCATAATCGTTTCTCTATGAAACGTGAATTAAGAATGAAACGAGTTCCGCGATTAATTGCCACGATAACTTAAACAGCAGGAATAGCGATAGTAAAATATCTCCCATGGCATATAACGGCCTGCGCCCCACACCGCTGCTGCAGCGTGTAGTTTTAAATACAATTAAAATGCATTTATTGTATTCGTTAGATACGCCGCGATGCAAGCGCTTGCAATATTTATTTTTTCGTTTTTGGTGGCTATGTATATCGCTATTCGTCGTCAACGTCAGTGCCAGCGATACCGCTTTGACGCTCTGACGATGACTACACCACAGCTCTTTCATCAACTGCCGACGATCGCTGCGCGTCCATGGCCAAAGCCATCTGTACGCCAGTACGTATTGTGATCGGTTGCCTGTCAATTGCAGGTTTTTCCTCGTATCTGATGAGCTAGGTTTTTTGTTTGTACTTCACTTGTCTACACGTCTTCGCCAGTACGCTCACATGCGCGTAAGCATGTAAGTGTTTCCTCAGTTCACAGTGCATCCTCTTCAGCGTGTTTTGTTACATTTATGATAGGCGAATGCATTGCCACAAAGCCGCAAAAGCGTTCAAGTGGCGTCGCAGATAACCGCCGATAAGATGTTGCATGCTTAAAAAGTTTTTTAATTTGCAGCTATAAAGTTTATTCTTTGGGTCGACAAGTGCTATGTATAACTTTCATTAGCTACCCTTTATGCGCATGAGAATCTGAATCGAACACTTCAAGAGCTGCATGAGCAGATTCTCCGCAATAACTTTTAGTAACAAGAGGGAACTTTACTTCCCAACTTTTTATTTTGGTCCGTCTGCACTTGGCCCTTCATTTTTTCGTGGGGCCCTTGCTTTCGTTGTCTAGTCATGGGTGCGGAGTCGATATGTAGGCATTCAGACCCATGACTTTACTGGCTTAGTTTTCAAACTGTAAATTATGTTCGCTGCCATATCTTGTTAAACCGGGACACCCAAGGGATGTAGTATTAGTAATAAGTATAAAAAACGACAAAATATGAACTTCACCAACATAATTTTCTCCGCCGAAATCCCACTGTGCGGCGTCTAATCCTATTTTGTTCCAAAATTTTACTTCACATACCAATTTTCAACAATTTGGATACAATATTTACTGAAATATCGTAGATTTATCTAAATTGACATAGTTGGGTTCGCCTTACATTCTCGGGGTTCTAGCAACATGACCGATTGAAGCCAGGAGCCGAATTTCCCAGGTAACTTAACTTTTAGATATGTAGTAGTAGCATTAACATTAACTTTAGTTTTTATATTAACTTTAAACATGTACGTTTTAGTAAAAGAGTTCAAAATAAAATGGAAAAGTCTGCAGGATAGGTACCGACGGGAAAAAAATGTTGAAGATCGTCCATCTGGCTCTTCCCAAAAGTTGGGTCCACCTTGGAAATACCGAGAAAGCCTTGAGTTTCTAGCGGACTCAATGGAACCGGCCAGGTAAACAGGTAGAATATTGCTTGAATTACATCGTTATATTAAAAAAGAAAAGATACGTTTTGGGTAATCGTGGTGAAAATACTATGTTCTTCGTTAACATATCGGAAAAATAATGTGCGGTATTTAATGCGTATTTAATTTTTTATATGCATGTACATATATAGGTATATTTTATATAACCGCTAACATTCGGATACATGTGTACATATATGTATCTATTTACTCGTATTTTCGTAATACATTTCCAGCACAACCTCGAATGTCTTTGAAGAGGACGAAGCTACTGTGGAGTGGTTACATGGCGAGAACTCTAATCCTTCGCCGCAAACACCCACACTAAAACGCAAAAATTACCTTATGACGGAAATTTTAACGGCGATGAAAAGCAAGTATGGGGAGGAGTCAACGCCGGCTAAAAAAGACAAATACGAAAATTTCTTTGCCTTGCTAGGCGAAAGGCTAGATCGACTCCCTGAGCATGAGGTTGACGAAGTTCAGGTGGAGATTTTGCAATTGGTTAACCGTAAATTAAATAAACACTAATGTTATTAGTATTAAGTCATGCTTGTACTGTAGTTAATTTTTTTACAATATTTGCGAAGGCATTTTATGCCAAATCCTTTTCGTAAACTTTGTTTAAAAATATAGTCCAATGTATGTATGTATGTATGTACAGCAGTGTTCACAATAATAGCAGCAATAATGTTTTGAACTTATGCTTATTAATTTGTTATTAGTAACTTTCATTTAAAACACAGTTCGATCTATAACAGGAACCACATAAATGCAAGTTTCAAACTTGCACATTTTTTGTGACCATTGTGAACACTGCTGTACATACATACGTTGGACTACATTTTTAAACAAAGTTTACGAAAAGGATTTGGTATAAAAAGCCTTTGCAAATATTGTAAAAAATAACGTGCATTTTTTATGCACTGTATGTACCTATGTATATGTAAATGTTATTTGTAAAACAAAACAACAGGGTAATAAAATTACCATCTGCAGAAAACGATCTTTCAATTATTAAAATAAAGAAATGTTTGGCTACCTACGGTAAGAATTTGATCAGAAATAAAAAAAATGTATTTATAAATAAAAAAATAAAGATACAAATTAATAATTCATATATTTCAGTCTTTATTAAAATTTCATTACTGTGACAATGTTTAAAGAACCTTAGCCGACAAATTGCATCTCATTTAGTACATACCGCACACCTCACTTTTGTATTAGGTGCGTTGAATCTGTACGATCCATAAGCAGTTATATTTTCGGATGTGATATTTGAGTTGTGCCTCTCCTGAAGATGGTGTGCGATATGTATATTATTATAGGCACTAACTAATTTTTTCGAATCTAGCTTCATATGTCAGTAAATAACTTACTTAAAAACTAATATAATTTAAAAACAGCTATGCGAAATTTAACTTTTATTTTTATTTATATTATATCGCAGAAGTTCTTGAAAACTTTTTTAAGAAATACATGATCTCTCTACATCTGTCAAAAAAAAACTATAAATAACTTTAGAGTCGACTTTATTTCGACTGTGAATATACCATAAAGGACTGTGTGTAACAAAATAGTGTTTACTTACAAAGCGGTTAAATAAATTAGTAAAAACTCTAGGTAACGCATGAACAAAATCTATTTTTATATAGAAGAAAATGCGCAACAGCCTCGACAAAAAAATTCTTAAAAATCAACGGCTACTTGAAATGGCACAAACTGCATAATCGAAAATTTTCAAAAAATCCTGAATAAAATTTTTTTAATTTTTAATACAATTTTTTAAAGTTTCAATAATTTGTGTGAATTTTGTACTTAGTTTGCAAAATTGATACATATGGTTTTTGTTATAGAATGAGCTATGTTTTAAATAAAAACTAACGAAAAAGATTTATGATGGAAAAATTTTGAATATTATTAAAAAACTAAATTACGAATATTTCTTAAATATTAACATATGCACGTAGATTTATATACATACATGTATACATTTGAATAATATCTTGCAAAATTTTTAAATTATGGCAACATTTGTGTTTCCTTTTCATTCAGTTCCGTTAAGAATTTATTATCTTAACATTGTTCAATTTGTACATAAGCTTTTGACTACAAACTAAATAAGAAACTAAGTTTAAATTCATACGATATAAATTTGTCAAATGCGTAATTCAGCTTCAGTACATTCCACAAGAAAATTTGCTGAAAAAATAAATGGCGTTAGTACAAAGAAAATTACAATTAATATCAGTAATATTTAATGAGAAGGTTAAAATTTTATGATATTTTCTTGATTTAGAAATACCTAAATAATCCACAAACTTACCAAAACGAAAATAAAATAGTTGGGGAAATTCAGGACTAAATTCTTCATTGCGCTTCATAAGTGTTTCCAATAGAAAAATAGCGATTAATGGCCACATATGTATTTCCAAGAAAACAACAAAAGAATATATCTAAAAGAAATCTGAAATTGAAATAATTTAAATAGTGCATTCTTTGCTCACATATGTATGTATGTATGCATGTACGTGTACATAAAAAAATGAATTTAATAATGAGAATACGTTTAAATATTTTTTATAATACATAATCTATATATTAAACGGGTAGTCTCAAGGATTTTAATTTTAGATACACGCAATATGTCTCTGTTTTGTAACGCCTCTTGTGGTGAAGCATTTGCCGTATTTAAATCATTGCGGCTGACACTGGGAAGGTTAAAGATTTCTTCACTTTCAGCCGACGAACCAGAAGGTGCGGTGAATAACAAAACGCGCAGGTAGTTGTGCAGCACTATATTTAGTAGCCAATACAACCTAAATATGTATGTGAAACAATATTACTGCAACATATATATACACTTAAGATTCGCATATAACCTTCTTCGGATTTTCCGGGGAAAAGCCTATGGATGTCCTTAAAATTCGCCACCGTGATGAAAGGATACCTAGCTTAAGTTCATGGTTTGATATATTCATTTATCCCCCTTATTCTAGAACGCGAATTTTCGTAATTCGTAATTCGTAGCTATGCTGCGAAAACCGAAAAATCTACATGCTGCAACCCTTGCGGCAATATGTGCAGCATTGCCAGCTAACAGTTGTCGAAGATAGATGAATGAAGGAAAACGAAGTAGAAAGGAATTAAAAAAACACCCATGCAGTCCTTATTTGTAGTAAAATTGTTCGATTTTACATATTTTGAAGGAAATGATGGATTCTATTGCATTTGAAATTATAGCAGCGGAGTAAGAGCGCGCTATGGGAATGATTTCACAAAGATATGCGGAGCTGTCGGGCATATTAACCATGGGCGCAACTATGTCAGCTTCTGGTTGAACCACCACAAGCCAGAACTCCTCCTATGCCTGAAGAACTGGATCTCAATCCAGTTAATGCAATAACAGCTTCTTCCAAGCCATTGAAAACATGCACTTTCTTATGTCCACCACCTGTTGCACTTGCTTCTGCCCTCGGCCGCGCTTAGGGATTATAACCATTACTAAGTAGAATTCTCCTTTCTGTGTTGCCGCTTCCGCATGTCAAAGGGATACAACACTCTTGTGCATATCACTCCGGTTACGCCATCCACAGTATTTTTGCGCAGAACCCACGTCGAAATTTGCAAAAAAGTTCAGTTCGGAAATTTGAAACAATGGCCCGTAGTCATAGTCAAAATAAAGTCGACTTTAAAGTTAGTTGCAGCTTTTTTGACCGATATCCCATTGAAAATTATGTCAAAAAGCTGCAACTAACTTTAAAGTCGACTTTATTTTGACTATGACTACGGGCCATTTATTTTAAATAAAATTTTAATCCTTGGATTGTGATGTTAAAGTTTTTGGATTCGGGTTATGCGTTTGGAGACAACAACCGAAAATAATTGTACAAATAACTAAACCTTGACCCAAGTTTCTCGATAAGGGGCAACAAAGATTCTATTTTACTCGTTTATATAAAGCAGTGGATAAAAATATACGTATATGCGAAGGGCAAATTTATCTATCTAAATGAACACCACTAATATTTCCTGCAAAAAAACATCGATTTACGTCCTTTATTTCGCCTCCGACACAGAATTGTTTTCGTACAAAATTACGCAAAAAAGCTTACTCCTTCGTTTTTAGGCATGCCATTGTTACGAATTTCGAAAGTTCGAAATTACGATTCGGATTGCAGTTTACTATTTCTACGATTCGTAGCAAAATCCGAATACGAAAGAGTTGCAGAATAGGGGTGTATCTCTTATTGTCATCTTCTCAGTGTACTTAATATATGATTAACTCACCACCACCTTTCATAAGATTTATTAATGGCGAAACCAGCTTTTCATGTAAATCCTGTAAAACCTGCAAATCGTGAAGTTGGGTTGGGTTGAATCCAAACTTTCTAATAATGGTTTAAATTTAATTAAAGCTTTCAATCTTCTCACACGTATGAGTTGTCAAAAACCATTGTTTTGAACATGTAAACCTCAAGTAAATGTCAACTACACAAATTTACAATAGTATTAAATGTGAAAATCAGTACAAAATCAGTACAAACTCAAAAAATCAGTAGATTTTGCGTACTGATTTCGGGCTCTTAAAAATCAGTACAATATAAAAAAATCAGCACATGTACTGATTAAATCAGCGCATCTGGCCACCCTACTCCCATATAACGGTTATTTTCAGAAATACGAAAACTGCGATATCTTAGTAACTACTGAAGATTATTCACTCAAAATTGATATTTACAATAATTTTTCGACGAAAAATAAGAATATTATAAATTTTTGGAAAATGGGCGTAGCCACGCCCACTTATGGTTACATGTGTATATCTTGGTAACCCCTGCACCAATATCTTCCAAACTTGGCACAGTTTTTAGCCCTGATACAGCATACCAAATGGCCGAAAATTTTTAAAATCGGACAATAGCCAGGCCACATCCCATATAACGGTAATTTGGAGAAATACGAAATCTTCGATAAATCAGTAAATGTTAAAGCTAATTTATTCAAAATTGATGCTTACAACAATTCTTTACCTAGAAATACCTTTATGATAAAATTTTAGAAAATGGAAATCTATATCGGTAACCGTTCTACCAATTTTTACCAAACTCGGTACGGTTATTGTGCTTGGCACATAGAAGCAAAACGTTGAAAATTATTGAAATCGGACTAAAATGGAGGCCGCTTTTCATATAACAGTAAATTTCAGAAATACTTGAAACTTCAATATTTCTAAATTTAAGGACGCTAATTTACTCAAAATTTATACATCCCGGCTTACCATGTAGCGGTAGCTTTCGGAAAGGTGAAAATCATATATTTAATACTTGCGCCGGGTATTAAATGTTCGGCTCCGCCCGAACTTAAACTTTCTTACTTGTTTTATTTAATAATTCATTTTTTTTACAAATGTCTAGCTCATTATACATATAACACTGCGCGATAGTAAATTTTAAACAAAAATATCAATATATTCGCTAAACCCTGGGCCAAATATAGTAAAATTGCGTTTTTAGTTTTTCACTCTGACGTCAGTAATTCAAAAATTATTTAAAAAATTCAGAGAAATGTGCTTAGAAGTATGGGTATAAAATTAATGAGGAAATCCTGTAGAATTTAAGCAGATTCAAGTTTCTAGTGCAGAAGGGCTGGTAAATATTGAAAATGTCATATTAAAATTTTATCCTTGAAATTTCGCAATATTTGTTTTTGAAAAAATTACATGTTAAGGGCTTATGTATATAAACTCGATAACATCCTCGAATTTCGTTATTCTAAGTTTGTCAGCTTAAAAATTACCTATTCGTCCTTGTGAGTCCAAA